AATTAATTTTTATATAAATATATTCATATACAGGTGTATCTGAATGACTGCAACAAACTTCAAGGGGTGATTCTTTAGTGAATTTTAAGGGTACTTTGATATATGAACCATGGGTGACTTCGGCTCCCCTAAGGAGCTACACCCCACCAAAAATGGCGGAAAATTCTGGTTTATTTTTTTTTCTCAAAAACCATAAACGCTAGGAAAATGAAATTTGGGGAATATGTTTAACTCATACTAGGGCACGTTTTGACCCTATTTGTACTTTCAACCTACCTTTCTAAACTACTAAACGTAACCACCCCCTTTGCATTTTTGCTAAAATTTTTTTTATGCAGATGATAAATACATTAGAAAAATTTTACATAGATAGATTATTAATTTTTAGAAGAACATCAGAGAGACAAAAAAGTTTTAGAATAGTTTTATCTATCTAACTGAAATTTTTCCAATGTATTTATCATCTTCATAAAAAAATCTATGCATAAATTGAACGGGGTACACCCTGTATACTAAAATTAATAATTATTATCCTGTGATTTACTTTAGAATATATCTTTAGTTTAATTAACTAAAATTTTTATTTATTTTGGAATGCTGAATTATTTATATATATTTTTACTATAAAATAAATATGTTAACAATTTTTTTCTCTTATTTTTAATAATAATAATAACTTTATTTACAAATAACCAAAAATTAACCATGACACAAAATTTTTAAATAAGTAAAAGTTAATTGAAATAAAGCAAGATCAGAGAGAAAAGAAACAAATATTATTATTTAAAATATGAAGCAAAAAAAACAAAAAGAATCTGTCACTGGCATACCACTAAACTGCATAGCAGTTTGTGCGTGGTTTTCAAGTAACTAAATTTAATGGGAATAAATGAAAGAAACTAAAACAGATTCGTGCCTCTCCAATACAGAAACGGTCCCAAACAATTCATTCTAAATTTTATTTTTAATATTTATAAAAAGCAAAAATGCCATCACCACTTAAAATGCAGTTGATTGAAATTTTTAACATTTAAGTTTTTAAAAGCATAAATTTTATGTTAGTAATTTTTGCCAGCTATGATTAAAATTATGACAAGTGACTTATTTGTCAAATATAAAAAAAAATTAAAAAAAGCATGTTGGCATACTTTTATTAGAAAAATAGTAAAAAACCGGTTTTAACCGTTATTTCATTTCGGTTCACGAAAACGAAAACGATATTTTTTGGGTGTGAACGAAAAGAACGAAAACGAAATTTTTCGTTTTCGTTCTGATCGGAAACGAACAAAATACTTTTCGTTTTTAGTCCCTGGTTTTAACGAATATAAGAAAAAAGAGTTGAGCATAATATGAATTAAACCTCAAGTAATAAATATGGAATCGACGTTGTACTTTCAAAACTTATAATACTCTAAAATATATGAAAATATGCAATATATGCAAAAATATGCGAAAAACTTAGAAATATGCAAAATATGTAAAAATTAATAGGCGTCATTCAATTCCTATTCATGTAATTCGTCTAGATCCGAACGCATTTAATCGTACTATCAGCGGTAAATAATATACAATTTGCATAAATTCTGGACTCTAATGATCACAAGCACGTTAGTGTCAAATTATTTAATAATATTATAACTATAAATTGAGGTTAAGCGAATTTTTGTTAACGTGGCCATAAGTAGAGCGAATTTTGTGAAGTTTACCAGTTATGGCCAGTAGTGAATTAGCGTAAACCCAGTTATGGCCATTCTGTTAAATTTGATGCTTTAATGGATTTTGAAAACTCCATTTTCCAACAATAAACCCGGCAAAAAGTGGATTACTTCTTTCCTAAATAGACACTGAGTAGCATGTTGAATATGTCAACAAGGCAAGGGGCACTGTTACTGAGGAAAAAATACGCAACTGGTTTAAGGAAGTTGAAATTTTACTCACAAAAGAAGAAATTGTAGCAATAAGAGATCCAGAGCGCGTCTTTAATATGGATGAGACTTGCTTCTGTTTGACTCCAAAAGGAGGACTCATTATCAGGCCAAGAGGACAAAACGTTTACAATGAATCTACAAATTTGGATAAAGAGAATGTGGAATGTGACAACTTTATTTTCGGTCAATGCATGCAGGCAGTTTGCATTCATTGCAGGATGCAAGAATTCGAAGCTTCTAATGAAAGAGTCACTGAGGTGCAAACACCCCAAATTTCAAACTCCCAAGAATGCTTGCCTCGTCTACTAGAAGGCGTATCCTCCGAAAAGGAGAATGAAGCTGTTGCTCAACAATTACAGGATTTGTACTTCAACAGCAAAGCTGAAAGTGTTGATCCATCAACGTCGAATATACTTGCCACGCCTAAACGGTCTCTTGCCTCAGTGATGTCATTCCTTGACCACACCATAAACGAGAGAAGAAAATTCAACAAGTGCTGAAAATGGAGAGAAAGAAGAAAAGGGTAATACAGAAAAATAAAGTAGAGAAAGCGCAAAAGGCAAACAAGACGAAGAAGACAAAGGAAAACTGTTTAGAAGAAGAAGAGGAGGAAGAAGAGTGGAATGAAAGCGGGAGCAGCTTAGATAAGTAGACGATATTGAGACAGAAAATCAAGAAACAATTAATATGTATGGAGTTACAGCCCTGCAGGAGTGTATTGCAAAAATTTTGTGCGTGTTGAATGACGATGAGTTTGAAGTACAATGACTAAAAAGCTTAGACCAGACAAATTGTAAGACACATTTCAAAGTGTTAGACAATGGCAAATGTGACATTACAAACGAAGAAATCCTAGGAACGCTTCCAGAACCCGAACTGAAAAATGTTGGTCGAAAGATGACGATTATTTTTCGCAGACGTATTTGAAAAACGATAAATGTATTCATCTCCTTAACTTTGTTATTTCCTTAAAATATACTTTATTGCGGTTGATTTATACGCAAACAAATTATGGTGGCCATAAGTAGAAACTTTTATGGCCATAACAGCGGTTTTGGTGGTCATAAATGGAGAATTGCTGATTTGCTTTTGAAAATTATTTTTTGTGTTTTAAAATACTTGATAAGCAAATAAAATGGAAGGTGCCTATATGCAACAAGAGCTAAGAAACACTATTTTGATTTTTTTCTCGCATGTATTCCAATTTTTAACTAAGATACCGAATTTTAAAAGTTGAAAAGTACTAAATGTGGCCATAACTGGTTTCTCTACCCTAATAAAGTAAAGGCCGCTTGCGACAACGCTTTTGATACTATTATCCGTGCAAAAACTCGAGGCCTCTCACTTTAGAGATCGATATCTTCCTAACCGCTCGATGGAAAAAATTGCGGTAAATTATTGTAATCAGTGAACATTTCTGCGTATGACATGTTAATTTGGAAATTTTCAGGTCCACGGTTTTTCTTTTATCGCGAATTAAGTGAAAAAAGTACCCGATTTTTGAGAGTGCCAGCAACTTTGTCTACTTTGCGACTTTTTTTTCTCCAAAACTATTTGACGAAGAAATTCCAAATTTAAACTGGTGGTAAACCGATGTGTTCTTAATGTGGGGCATATTTTATTTTTTCGATATTACATATAGTTTCGCGGAAAATCGCGGTTTAGTAGGATGCGGTTATTTCGAAAACGACTTGGCGGATTTCAACGCGGTTTTTACCAAAATATATTAAATAATGTCGGTTGTCGGATTCCGTTATCAGTTTTTCAAAATTAGGGTTCCCTAATTTTTTAAGAGCGATTTAGTGGAATTACAAATTAAAGAGAAACAGAACAGATGAACGGAACAGATGGTGTGTCCTAGACAGTACGTCGCGCCTTTATCTTACCTACATAAAAAAATAAGGCGCGACGTCGTGTCTGGGACGCACCATCTGTTCCGATTGCACGGAACCCCCATCACCCCGCAGAGCTTATTTCTGTTTCTCTTTAATTCGTAATTCCAGTAAATCGCTCTTAAAAAAATAGGGAGCTATAATTTTGAAAAACTTATAACGGAATCTGACAACCGACATTATTTAACATATTTTGGTTAAATCCGCGAGGAAATCCACCCAGCCCTTTTCGACATAACAGCGTCTTACTAAAACGCGATTTTCCGCGAAACTCTATGGAATATCGAAAAAATAAAATACGCCACTCATTAAGAACATATCAGGCTACCACCTGTTCAAAAATCAAATTCTTTCGTACGACAGTTTTGGAGAAAAAGAATCGCAAAGTTGACAAAGTTATCGGTACCGTAAAAAATCGGGTACTTTTTTCATTTAACTCGCGATAAAAAGAAAACCATGGATCCGAAAATTTTCAAATTAACATATGTTACGTAGAAATGTTTAGTGATTACAACAAACTTTGTCGCAATTTTATTTTATCGAGCGGTTGCGAAGATATCGATCTCTAAAGTGAGGGGCCTTGACTTTTTGCACGGATACCGTCTTTTTCCGAAAATAAGACACTCTCTTACTTTCTTTTTTGGTCTAAAATACGCGCTAGGGCTTACTTTTGGGGGAGGACAAAAATAAAAGTATATTTATATATTTTTATTTAATATTTATTTTACACAGAATACAGAAATTTAAATTTATTCAATTACAGTCATGTCATCTTCTTCTGGNTAAAAAGTCATAGAAACAAAAAAAAAGATAGTAGTAAATAAACAGAAAAAGTGTTAAGTCGGCTTTTTGAATTAACGAATTTCTGTTTGAACCTGCTCCCAAAAAAAACTGTTATATATTTAAAAATTGTGTTTTGATGTAAAATACACGTTCATCACATTACTTATACTTAATAAATCAACAGCATTTTTTAACGAATTCTTTTTGTCACATTATTTTAACTAGTGCTTATTTTCAGAGGATGTCTTATTTTACAAAAAGTTCCGAAAATCACGATAGGGCTTATTTTCGGAGGATGTCGTATTTTCGGTAAAAGACGGTAGTAGATCAAATGTAAGTGGTCAAAAAAAATATAAAAAAACCTACATATACAAAATTTAAGTTTATTTATATAAATTTATAAAAGAACTAAATAATCGGTTTTAATATTATTTTCAAAATCACCAAAAGTATTTAAAGAAATCTTCAAATTGCCTCTATGTTGTCTTACCGATACTTTAACGTAATTATTCTCATACACAATGTCATTTTTGTCTAATAAAAAACATGCTTTATTATAATATTCACTTTGAAGAGTATTAATTTTCAAATCATCCCCAAAATATAATTCAAACCAATACAAAACGCCGTGAGTTCTTCCTTTTTGAATAACTTGAATCAAATGTTCACTAATTAATGGCTCTTCATCGTCTCGCAATATATCCAATTCAAACTTTTTCGTTAATTTCTCGTGGGATGTTTTCATATCAAACATCCAATGTTCATCGATCTAACAAAAAAAGTTAAGAATAAATTTTTAGTTTGAATCAGGTTTATTAAAGAATACTCACAGCAAATGTATTTAATTGATTGGCTATTTTAAAAGCGAACGAATTATCGTCGTTAGCACGACTACAATAATTTAAATAATCAGATTCGATTAATTGGAAAATTAATTTAATACGATTTGGAAAAATTTGTTTTTGATTTGAATGATTTTTCCATAATAAATTATAAATATCGCTATCTAAAGTACCATTTACGTTTATTACGTCGAATAAAATCGTGTCGAAATCGTCAAAATCATTTTTTTTATCATCACTTAAATATTGAATGTTAGAAATATTATTGATTTTAATTAAATGATCGATTAAAATTTGTTCGTTTTCATTTGGTGATAAAATGTGACTATTACAACCATTTTTGGCAAGTAATAACCCAAACAATGGAAAATTAAAATAATCCAAAACGGAATGAAACGAGCCATAAAACATTTTAGCTAAATTTGTGATTGTCTCAGTCATGATTGGATCATTTAAAAACGTAATCATTTCTAAGTTAACTTGGAAATGTTCAGGAATTAATTGTTGGTCGGTAATATTTAAAGTTGATCGATTATCAAAACAAGAAAATTTCAAATTTATTTCATCATCTTTTTGATAAACCTTTGGAAAATCGATATAAAACAAACCTTGTTCCCAACACTTAACATTTTCAACGTACGGATTCGTCGTAATTTTAATGTGATCATCCAAATTAAGATCAAACCAAATCACAAAAGCGTTTATTTCGCCCTCACAAATGCATTTTAAATTAAATTCGCAAATTTCGCCGTGTAATAAACTCTCTAATTGAGTTGGGCAACAAAAATTAACGCTTAAAAACTGTTTTATTTCAGTTATTTGTTTGTGTTGAATCATTTTTAAATTATCAACTTCATAAGGATCATTATTTTTTCCTATTATGATAGAGTTTTTTAACAAAGGTATATTTTTTAAAACTCGAATTCTTTTATTTAAGTCATGACTTTTAACCCCCATAATAAAAAGATTCGAGGAATTTGGAATTATTTTAGCATTTTCTTTTAAAAGTTCTTTCCAAGCGTGTGTTAAAGTTGTTAAGCATCTTTCCCCAAAAAGGGCCCCATCAAAAATTTCAGTAACAACCAAATCAGCTCTTCCATTTATATCATTTTCGTTTAAATCACTTGATAATTTATTTATCACAGATACATTATTTAAATAATTCCCTCTAATATTACTTTTAGCAATTTCAGCTAATGCATCTTCACCTTCGATAGCATAAATCTCACCCACATCTGGACTATTTGATGCAAATAATGATAAAAGTCCTGATCCAGCCCCAAGATCAATTACTTTTAATTTATTGGTTTTTTCATTACTATGGGATAATAAAGCTTTGTAATAAGCCATATTTCTTTCATAATCATTAACCATACGGAAATGCCACCTTGAAACCATCTCAAGTTTCACTAAATCAACAATTCTTTTGTAAATTAATCCTTTTGAAGAAATTTCTGATATATATCTAGTCACCCGAATACCATTATCCAAATTATCCATTCTCATTAAATGAACAACATAATTTTTTATGATTTCTGTATCGGTTGGGTAATACTTTAAAGCATCCATATAACACATTCGAACATCGTCGAGACGTTTATCTCGTTCTAATTTTAAACCCCATTGTTTCAATGAATACACAAACTCCGCTCTGTAAGTGCTACAAAAACTTGGTTCTATTTCGAATAATGTCATCAAATGAGCAAAAGCCCTTCCGTAATTATCGTTGATGTAATGACACATCGCCCAATTTAGGCAATTTGCTAAAACTGTATTAATTTGACTAAATTCTGACATTATTTCTTATAAATTAACCTTTCTTTAGGTTAGGTTAGGTTAGGTTATGTTAATGTTGTTGATTATTTTAAATTGAAAAGGATATCTTTCTAAAAGCAGTCTCAATGTTTCTTCTTCAATTTATAGTAATTATTCGTTTAATTGTTAAGGCATATTATTAATTTTGATTTTAAACTTATTTATGTTTTTTAGTCTAATAAATTAGTACACCCATCTGTGGGTCAAACTTAGAATTACGAAACTAATGTTTATTTCAACAGATGACTCTTTTTACTAATCTCAAACAAAAAAAAAATAAATATGTATTTTGAAAATTAAAAAGAATAATTTCGTCAAACACACGAAAGAAAAAATGGTATGCTGTTTGATCATCTTCTGTTTGGCTCACTGTATTATTAGATGACTAGGGTTGTAATGAGGAACTTTTCTTTCTAAATTTCCAATGTGAAAAGTTTGTCCCGTCTACTAACTGAGGAAGCGGAATTGATGACGACGACGCCATTTCGTTCTTTTCTCTTTACACAGGTATTTTTTTTCTTTAGAAAAGTCACACTCACTCGCTTACAACCTTTCCAGCTTTTAAATTTGTGTTTACTTGGCCCATAACCTGTTAGATGACTAGGGTTGTAATGAGGAACTTTTCTTTCGAAGATATCTTTCAAACATTTCCACATTTCGAACGTGTACTTTGCATCTTTCAGATTTTCCAAATGTTTGTCGTCTACACATTGTACTATGATACATTTTGCCTTAGAATCCTTTTTAATGAAAGCTGTCAATTTCTCTTGATTCATTTCATCGATTTTCTCTTTATCCATTTCTAAAGTATCTTTAACACCTTCCTTTTCAAGCAGTATTTCCANTGAATCCCAAACTAGTAAACCTCTATTCTGACCCCTCAACAGTGGTAGCAGCATAAAATCAACCCACTTTCTTATAACTGCTTGGGCGCACCAGGCTTTTTCACTTTCAATGACATAAATTCCTGAAACACGTTGAATCTGGTCTTTTTTACCTTTAGTGATTAAACATGGCGATACTTTCTTGCCATTTAGACGAATCGCCAAAATACAGGTAACACGTGCACTATCGTAACCGGTAGAAGGAACGTAAATTGACGAAGAAGCTTTGTGGTGAACTGTCGTTTATCAAAATATTTCCAGCACGAATGAATTAATGGAGATTTTAAGAAGATTATATGATTTTACGGAAAACCAAAGAAAAGAAAGGAATTTAAATTATCAAAATATAAACTACGGACATACAAAACTAAACTATAACTACAATTACGACAAAAAACCAGAGCAAAATCAAAGAAACTACAATTACAATAACAATAACTATACGAACTGTGATAATAATGATAAAACCTACGGTAGTAATAATAGATATGATAAGAATTACTCTCGAAATAGAAATGGAAATGGACACGATAATTATGGATATAGAAATTCTCAATCAAGATTCCAAAATAATGACTATCAAAACAGAGGACCACCACGTAGATTTAATTTTTTATCACAGAATCGAGGAAATCCCCCAGAACGAGAAAATGTATATATGAATCACGTGACTTATAAGGATTATTCCGAAGATAGAACTAACAATGAGACGGGAAATTCAAGAAGGAATGAGAATCGACAGTATAACCAAAATGTGGATGATGTAAAAAAAAAAAACGCTGACTGTACCAACAGAAGAAGAATGGTAAAATAAATCACTTCAAAATTCATACCAAATTTTACGATAACCCTCATAATTTCTTCAACTTTAATGAAGAAACTAATTTAATACAATATAATTATATTCCAATTATTAAAATTAAAGTTCAAAATATCGAAATTAAAGCAATAATAGATACAGCTGCTGAAATATCAATAATTAATACCAACATAACAAAAACAATCGATAACTTAGCAAATTATCTTGAAAACATAAAAAAATTAGAAATTTTTGCAACCAATCGGAAGAAAATAGGACAAGTGAGTAAAAAATTATATTCAGTAACCGAAATTAATAATGAAACTTAGTTAATGGAATTTTATCTTTTTGAGAACATAACTTATGAGTGTTTGATAGGAATTGACAACATCCGAAAACATGAAATGATCTTAGATTTTGAAAAAGAAGAATTAAGAATTGCTAAAAATTGTATAAAATTCGAAACAAATGAATATTGTCATTTAATGATTGAAAATAAAATAGAAGATAAAGAAAGTGTTAAGAAAGAAAAGAATGAACATTTTGAAAGGAAAACGAATGAAGAAAATGTAAAAAGAATCAATAATATAAATAAAGGGGAAAATTATTATACAAATATTTATGAAGAAAATAAATATGATGAATGGGGTAGAAATAAATATAAATAATGAAATTGAAAATAATAAAATAAATGAAAATAAAAAAGAAAATATAATTATTGATGAGGGAAATAAGGAATGGTATATAGAAGAATTGGTAAAGAATATTCAGATAAAGGAAGAAAGTAAAGAGAGATTGAAGGAAATTTTGTTGGATAATTCGATAACATTTAATGATAAAATAACGTTGCTAAAAATTATACCCATAAAATTCAAGTAGAAGATCATTCACCTTTAAATTGTAAAAATTATCCTATACCTTTTCATTTCCGAGAACAAGTTAACGAAGAGATAAATAAATTGATAGATCAACAAATTATCGAAAGATCAAATTCCTATTTTATAAGTCCGATTGTAATTGTTAAAAAGTCTGATGGTAGTTTAAGAATTTGTCTAGATGCAAGAGAGATAAATAAAAGAGTGAAACCAGGTTTCGAAACACCACAAACTGTCTATATTTTAATGTCAAGATGTGGAACAAGTAAGTATTTTACTAAAATTGATTTAAAAGCAACTTTCTGGTTAATAAAACTTTCCGAAAAATCAAAAAAATATTGCGCTTTTAGTATAAATGGAAATGTTTATCAATTTAAAGTAGCACCTTTTGGAGTAAAATGTAGTCCTTCAGCTTTCATTAGATTTTTACATCGGATATTAAATAGACTTGAAGATTTTTGTGTACATTACTTCGATGATATCTTGATTTTCTCTAACACTGAAGGAGAACATCTAGAACATTTACAAACTATGTTTTCGACATTAGCCCATAACGGAATGAAAATTAATATAAACAAAAGAAAATTTTTTCAATCAGAAGTAACTTATTTGGGACACATTATTAATCGATCAGGGATTAAAATAGATCCAAAGAGGGTAGAACAGATTCAGAATCTTCCTAAACCAAAGAGTATAAGAGATATAAGAGCATTTTTTGGGTTATTAAACTATTATCATAGATTTGTAAAAGACTATGCCGTTAAAACAGTACCATTGATAAAATTAATAAAAAAAGATACGATTTGGAAATGGTGCATAGAACAAGAAGAGGCTTTCCAAGACCTAAAAGAATCATTTATTAAAGAAATATTGTTATATAGACCAAATTTTAACTTGCCATTTAAATTGAAGTGTGCCGCTTCTAATTATGCAATCGCGGGAGAGTTGAGTGAAATTCAAAATAACATAGAAGTTCCGATACAATTTGTTGCTAGAGTACTTAAACCATGCGAAACTAAATATTCTATTACTTCAAAGGAGATGCTTGCCATTATCTATTCAGTGATCCAGTGATCATTTTTCAGTAAATATGGTAAACCAAAAGCTATATTATCTGATAACGCGACCTATTTCAATAATGAAAGATATCGACAAACTTTGAATGGAATGGGAGTTAAAACATATTACAGCAGTATTCGACATCCACAGGGAAACCCATGTGAAAGAATTATAAAAGAGTCTTAATAATAGAAAAATTGTTAAATAATACCCCAAACACTACCCATCAAGAGAGTCCATCATTCTTAATGACTGAAATATTTCCTCCCCGAATTTGGAAAAATGAAGAAATAGAAAATTTAGAAATAAGATTAGAAAAAGTAAAAGAAAGACTTATTAAAAAACCACAGTATCGAAAGAGACAACAGGAAAAAAAGAACAGAAAGAAGATCAATTTCAACATAAATGACTTAGTACTAATTAAAACAAGAAGAGTCACCGATAAAAGAAATAAGATAGTAGCAAAATTAATGAAAACATATAATGGACCATACCGAATAATAAATAAAAATAACGACACTTATGATTTATTTGATGAAAATTCAAAAGTTGAAATAGGAACATATCATGTATCTCTGTTATGTAAATATGAAACTTAATTTTGATATAGAAACATGAATTTTGAAGTGATATTAATTATAAGATAATTTAAACCGTAATTGTTGTAAAACGTTAATTTTAAATTAATAATTTAAGGTACGTCGAATTGTAAAATTTCCGTCATCTACATTTGTAAATTTGCCAATTTTGAATATGGGGAAATTGTAATAATATCACTTATGATAGTATTAAGAGGTGGCGTTAATATAAAAAAATAAAAGTCATGGAAACAAAAAAAAAAAAAGAAATGATAGTAGTAAATAAACAAAAAAAGCGTTAAGTCGAATTTTTGAATTAACGAATTTCTGTTTGAACCTGCTCCCGAAATATTCTATGATATATGTAAAAATTGTGTTTTGATAATAAAATACACGTTCATCACAATATTAAATAATATTAAATTGTTCCAAATAGT